TTAATGAAATACTGTGTTGATAAAACTTTAAATTGACAAATCCCTCTTGGATGAAGTCAAATGAACTTTTGGAGTGATAATATTCCATTATCTGGATTTTGGCCTCCTTCCTGCCTCCTCTTCTTCCTATTCACTTAGATTATGACTTTATCATGTTTATGTCATTTCCTCCAGTATTTGGGAATTCTGAGTCTATAAACTGTTGGAACTGAGCTCGTCCTGAACTGTTAAATTGAATACTCTGCTCTAAGTGATTGGAACAATCAAAATCCCTAAATTGGCAGTACCATTTTGAATCTGGCTGGTGACTCTATTGTTGTCATAACAACTTAAGCCCTCAAAACATAACTATTCCCAAATAGTAACATGATTTTCCCTGATTGTTTTTGAGTATGGCACTTATACCAATCAGTATCTTCATTGTCTATTCAGGACACATGTCATACAGAACTTACCAATCCTGTTGAAGATTGCTGCCATGTACACATAAGCTCTTTGAGACCAGGAACTGTTTCTTTTTTCTCTTTGTATCCCTAGCACCAGCACAGTGCCTTAAATATGGTAGGTACTTGAAAGTGCTTGCTGAATTGAATTGATATTGCATCTAATCATTTATCAGGATGAATAGTTATTTACTGAGTTGACGGAAGACAATACAGTTTTCCCCCCCTACATGTGAGCATTCTTTAGGTGGGAATAGTGAATCATTTTTAAAAAATTGTGAACTATTCTTGCCCTAAATAGGGCAGCTGATGACAATGAAATCAAGAGGTTCCAAAGTTTTCCTTGGTTTACATGAAACTTAGCATCCTGGCTGTTCTCCTGGATTCTTACCCCTTTCCCCAAAATTTTGGACATGACCCTGTATTTTCTGTTGTTCTTTTGGCTAGTAGAGAATTCTTTGAGGGAGAGGCTCTATTGTCTTGGCACAGATTCTTCTCTTTTACTAAAGCTCTGTATGAATATCCAAGTTAGAATAAAAATAGTTGTCACTTAATGTTTATTGTGATGAGAGCTCAGTCTAATTTCCTGCTGCAAAGGATAGAATTTAGCAAGAAGCAGTAGATGTTTCAGGATACAGTGTCAGAGCTGGAAAAATCCTAGAATTCTTACAGTCCAATACATATATGTCTTTTGGTCATCCAGCCTCTGAGTGTTGGCTGCGTGGGGAACACACTAACTGTTGAGGCAGGTTATTTCATTTTTGGACAATCCTCATTGTTAGAAAGTTTTTCTTTACCTTGAGATAAAATTTGCTTCTACTCACTCTTAATTTTGCCCTCTGGGTCTAAATAAAACAAGTCTAATTCTTCTTTCAAATGACAACCCTTAAAATTCTTGATGATGACTGCCACCCTTCCCTACCCTCACAGTTCCACATATTGAAATTAGGCTAAATATCCCTAATTTAATCAACTGATAATTATGTGGCATAGTTTCAGATCTCTTCTCTATGGCTTCTTTCCTCTGGATGTACTCCAGCATAGTATGATTGTAGAATAGTACATTTAGAGGGGGCTGTAAGAAACCTTAGGAATTATCTGGTTCAGTTCTTCCATTTTACAAATAAGGGAACTAAGGCTCAGGTTATTAATGTTTTTCCTACAATATATTCCATAGAACTGAATATTGCCCAAGATCTATTATGACCAGAGCAGAATATAGAGGGAGTATAATCTCCCTTATTCTGAACAGCTTAAAGTTGCATCTTTTTTTTTTGTACTGCTGTATCATACCATTGATTGCACATTGAGCTTGTGGTTCAAATGTTATTCACATGAACTGTAGTCTAGTCACATCTGCCTCATTCTTAGCCATTGTGTTTTTGGTCCCAAATGTAGGACTATATAGTTATTTTTATTAAATGTCATGTTATTAAACTTAACCCATCATTCTAACCTATGAATAGCTTTTTGAATCCTGACTCTATTGTTCAGTGTGTTAGTTATCCTTCAAAATTTCATGTCATCCATAAATTTGGGAAGCATACCATCTATTCTTCATCAGAGTTATTGATAAGAATGTTGAACAGCATAGGACCAAAGAGGAATCTCTGGGGCAAACTGGAGGCTTATTTCCAATATGACATGAATCTGTTCATTACCATTCTTTGGGACCAATAGTTCAGTGGGCTCCAGTCAACAGTACTATCATCCAGTGCTCTCTTGAAAGCTACTGGGTGCTCTTTAATTGCCTCCTCATTTACTATGAGCTTTCCCTTTGAACTTACCTTGAGTTTTTCCTTTTGACAATTTTTATTCTAGATTGCACAGCTTGAAGATAATTCTTCTTGGCAGAGAAAACAGAAGCAAAAGAAGAGTTGAGTATTTCTGCTTTCTCTCCATCATCTAGTATCACCATGTTTATCCCAAGCAGCAACTTTATCCCTTTCTTTATCTTTCTCTTACCTCCCTTTTTTGTTGGGAAAGTAAAGAAGACAGGTAATGTTAAAAAGGTGATTTGGATGCCTATGAAAGAGAATGTAATAGACATATATGAGGCTAGACCAAGGGATTAGAAGAATCAGAATATGCCTTCCAATTACAGCAAAAGATTTGAAACAATGCAACAGAAAAGAGCAAGATCTACCCATGTTCCCATCTCTGAAATTCCTTTTCTTACTTCAACCCTTCATGTCCAGCAGGTCAGAGTGTCTTGACACCCTATGAGAGAGGCCAGTGCTATAAGAGAGAAAGCTGATGGCAGTGAGAAGGCTGTTACACCAGTAATTGCTCACAGCATATTTAGTGGGCCTGATGACTACTGTAGTTTATATACCCTCTATAACTTTGGAAGATGAAAGTAGCAATTTATTACCTGCTGAAAGTATGTTACTTGACTCTTTGCTTTTATGTTGAGTCCTCACTAAATTTCCCAGCACACCACCCCATCTCTTTTTCTCACTACCTCTTCCCATGCTATACTGATGTGACCAAATCTTTATTGCTTGCTCTTAACTTAACCATACAGATGGTAACCATTAATGTGAGAAAAATGAGAGCACTTAGCATTCCCATGAAGAAAGTTGAACAGTTAGAGATTCTTCCTGACATGTATTTATATTTGCTATGCTCTTTGGATAGAACTCTTTTTGATATCCGGCTTCTCTCTCTGAGACCAGACTCTATAAAAATATTAACTAGAATTTGGTTACTGCTTACAATATTTAAAACTGCAAGATCATCTTTTAAAAATTACGGTTATAGGGCAGCTAGGTGGTGCAGTGGATACAGCACTGGCTTTGGAGTCAGGAGGACCTGAGTTCAAATCTGGCCTCAGACATATGATGCTCACTATTTGTGTGACCCTGGACAAGTCACTTAACCCCTATTGCCTCACCAAAAAACAAAACAAAACAAAACAGAAAAAAAATATTGTTGTACTGCATGATAATTCACATGGAAAGGATAAGGGGTAGAATAAAAACTCATATCAATCAATAGTAAGATAAGACACTCAGTCAAGGCCAAATTAATAAAATACTACATACAAAAGAAAGAATGGGTTAGTTCCACTGTAGTCTGCCATGTCAACCCATTTCTGGAATCTTGTGTCTTATTCTTCATGGCAGATTTTTTTTTATTTTTAATTTTTTTTTATTTTTAGGCAACTGGGGTTAAGTGACTTGCCCACGGTCCCACAACTAGTAAGTGTCAAGTGTTTGTTCTGAGGCCTGATTTGAACTCAGGTCCTCCTGACTTCAGGGCCAGTGCTGTATCCACTGTGCCACCTAATTGCCCCCTTGGTAGATTTTATAAAGGACATTGACAAACTACTTCAGAAGAGCCATACTATGACCATGAGAAGACTCAAAACTATGCCAAAGACTAGTTAAATGAAGTAGCGCTATTTATCCCAAAGAAGAAATGATTGAGGGGACATAATAATAGTCGCCCTCAAGCATATAAAGGACTGTCATATGAAAAAGTGATTAGATTTTTTCTGCTTGGCCTTAAAGGGCAAAAGTAGGATCAGTGGGTGGAAGTTAATAGGAGACAAATTTTATCTCTACATAAAGAAAACTTGCCCATTTTCAGAGCTGTTCAAAAGCAGAATGGGCTAATTTGATGAATTCTCCATTTTTGAAAGTCTTCAACTGGAGGCTGGATTTGTCAAGATATCACAACAGGGATTCATACATCAGATGTGAGTTGTACCACAGGACCTTTAAGGTCTCTTCCAATTCTGAGATTCTATTATTTTGTGTGGAATTTGGCAAAAAAAAAAAAAAAGACCTAAGTGGCCTGTTGTACCACTAGAAGACTGAAAGTTGTTTGGATCCTTGATCTTCACTGTCATGGGAGAACTGTTGTCAGCAAATAGCTTGATTTCACTTTGATTTTTGATTCAATGGATTGGATCACACTGATGCACCTGTGGTTTAGTTGCATTTTGCCTAGCACTATAAAAACATGAAAGCCCATGTTTAGAGTCTATTTCTGGTGAAAACTGATAGAAGACATGATTTATTTGTAGTGCTTAATGCAAAATTTTAAGTTTTTATGTTTTTTTTTTTTTTTACCAGAACATAAGTGTTGTGTGGGTTAGGCAGGAGGGAGAGTGTCAAGAAGTGGTTGATAAATAACATGTTGAGAGATGTGTGACCAACTATTTTTGAAATGTGTGTTCTGTTGCCATAATGATCAACTCTTTAGAAAAGTACTGAAACCACCAATACCATTGACAGTGTTCATTATGATTCAGGGAAACAAACTGCTGGGATTATAGTTAAGTGAAATTCCATAAAATTCTATTGTTGATTTAAAAATCAAATCAAATACCTTTCCAAGGGTAAGCTGATATCATTTTGTCATGTTTTACTGCCTTTAGGGACTACCAGGCCGTTAACCCTTGTTGCCTAAAAAAGCTCCAAATCAGTGATTAATCATAGATGGCATTAAACTGCATATGTATAGCACAAAGATATGAAGACCATTGGAATTAATTACCTTTTACCTGACACCCTCCCTCCCATTTCTACCCTTTTATGCCTATTAAAGAAATCAACCAGTAGAAGTTGAAATGCAAACTTCACAGAGGTCAGCCAGAAAGTAGCCTTTAATCTACTTCTTCCACATCAGTGTCTGGCTTAGGCATCAATGCCACATCGGAAGCCTGTACTGGACAATGTGAAATTTGCCTTTGGCCCTCTGCTGCAGATGGTGGGAGCTGACCATTAGGCTCACAAACAGGTAGCACAAGTGGACATTGGTCACTTGCTATAGGCTGTAAGGGCTGACTGTTAGCCTCTTGGGTTGGTTGTGCGGGTGGACCATCAACATTTGCTGCAATTTGTGGAGGCTGGCTTGGAGCCTTTCCAATTGGTGGGAGGGATTGACTGTCTGCATCTCCTGGTGCTTGGAAGGGGTGACTGTCAGTCCTTGCCATAGGCTTTAAGGACTGACTTTGGGAAACTGCCCTTGGTAAGAGAGACTGATTGTCAGTCTTTGGTGGAAGTGTGGCCTCCTCACATTCCTCAGACTTAGATGGAGGATTTGGTTGGGCTAGGGAACTCCCTGGGCTGCAAGCTTGAGGGCTACATAACGTCAGCTCTGTGTTTTCACAGGATTGTTCATGAGGAACATCCACTTGATGGGTTATCATGAAAGCTGTTGCCAGATTCCTCAAGGCATTCTCATCAGTACTGGCTGCCTGTCCATCAACTGTTCCATCAACTAGGGCATTTGTGTCAGACTCTTCTTCTGAGGTGTTCTCATTTTCTTCTTTTTCAGGGATTTTGGCCTCTTTAATTTTTTTGTATAGCTCATTCCTCTCCTCGTGCAGAGCTCTACAGAGGTTTTCTAGCCTTCCAATTTTCATCACAAAGCACTCGTATTCTTTAGTCCTCACTGCTTTCTGTGATTTTTAGAAAGGAGAAGAAAAATGACAACAATAGGACAGAAAGAAAAATTGAGAATTATCTCTTGAAACAAACAAAATCTTTCCTTGAAAGATCATTCAAAGAATGTAAATTGAGGTGGCTGGACTTGAAATCTAGGCAAGATTACTTTTTCTTTTGCAACACACATACAGCTCTGCTGGAACCCCAATCACTCTGCTGCTTTAAATTTTTTTTTTTTTTTTTTTTTTTTAGGAAAGAAAGGGATGAGGCAACTTCATGCTTCTCATTTAAAGATTCTGAAATCTTGAAGCAGCAGGGGGTTGCTGTTTTGAAGAATTGGGTTGGAAGGGGAAAGCAAGGGCTCTGATTGAGGCTATGGGAGGAATTTCCTTACCCTCAACAACTCTGTTGTTTGGTAGTGAATAAGGTGATATAAGGCCCCATAATTGCTGTAGTTTTTGGTGCAATAATAATAATAATAATAGCAGCTAGTAATTAATAATTGCTATTTTTATATACCTTTTTGAAGTTTGCAAAGTGCTTTACATTATATGGTCTTATTTGATCCTTACAACAATCCTATGACTTAGCTGTTATTATTATTATCCCCATTTTGCAGATGAGGAAACTGAGACTAAAAGAAGGTAAGTGACTTGCCAAGGGTTCCATGCCTAGTTTTGAGGTAGGATTTGAAATTGTCTTCATGTCTCCAAGTCCAATGCTTCATCCACTTGTGATCCACTATATAATATGGACAAATGCAGTTTTGTTCTTAGACAGAACTATTACACATCACCTCTCCTTCCTCTCCTTAGCAACATGGTATATAATTGGAGGAGGAAAGGTAAAGAGAGGACAAGGGATGGGGAGAGGTATACAAGATGCTCTCCTGGAAGGGCCAGCCATGCACATCTTGTGTTCAAGCAGGTACCTCCTATCAAGCACAGAGTAGTAAGTTAAAATTATGGTATTCCCCTGGGAGAGGCTTTTGAATTAAGAAAAAGTATGTGAATTAGGGTCATAAACCTACTTACAATCTCTGGTCTAATTCTAGATCATTTTTGTGCTTATTATCAGTTGACTATATTTTAACACGGCAAGTCCCTGAAGAGCCTGGCTATTTTTCAAAGGCAATAATTTTTGCCATGATGTTGCAGGCCTTGCCTTAGCATGGCTGTTTTGGCTGAAACCTAGAAAAACTGTGACAGATTTTTCTTACCTCTTCAATCATGTCCAGGAGTGCTTTGTTACAGTTTTCGAATCTCGATTTCCATGTGGCTGTATCCTTTTCCAGCTTTTTCATTTTCTTCGTTGTCTGTAATAATGATGATGATAGCTAGCATTTATATAGTGCTTTACAGTTTGCAAAGCATTGTTCAAATATTAACTTAATTTATCCTTACAACAACCTTGGGATTCAGTTGCTATTTTCATCTGCATTGTAGAAGTGAGGAACCTGAGGCAGAAGTTAAGTGATTTGCCCAGGAGTCACATAGCTAAAAACATCTGAAGTATAATCTGAACTTAAGTCTTCCTGACTCCAGGTCCCACATTCTATTTATTTGTGACACCTAGCTGCCTCTATTAAAATCATAAGAGGAGTATAAGAAATTGATACACCTAAGACTAGTAGCCATCTTCTCCTTCCCCACCTCTAAAAAAGAGACACTTTTACTACCAATTACTAAGACAAATGAATTTTCCATAGCAAAGAATAAAGATTTAGGAATGTCAGAATGCTAGACTTAGAAGAGACTTTAAACATTGTCAAGTCCAATCCCCATTTTATATATGGAGAAACAAACCTATAGAGATTAAGTAAATTGCCTGGGTTACAGAAGTAGTAAATAGAAGAGCCCAGATTGTTGTTCAGTTGTTTCAGTCATGTCCAGCTCTTTGTGACCACATTTGGTGTTTTCTTGGCAAAGATAATGGAGTGGTTTTGCCATTTCTTTCTCTAGCTCGTTTTACAGATGAGGAAACTGAGACAAACAGGACTAAATTACTCGCCCGGGGTCACAAAGCTAGTAAGTATCTGAGACCAGATTTGAACTAAGGAAATGAGTCTCCTTGACTTTAGATCTGGCAGCCCATCCACTGTGCCCCCTAGCTGCCCTTCAGATTCCAACACAAGTCTTCAGATCTGAGCCTCTATGCCTTCTTCACACTTTAGTTCGCAATGTATAACTCTAGACCTGCTTATTCTTTCTTCTAGTGTAGAATAGCACAACTTTAAGCTTGCATTAGTTTTTTTTTTGTTTGCCATATCACTTTGTTGACTTCTTATGAACTTGCAGTCCACTGAACCCCTTAAATCTTTTCCCAGACTAACTGTTATCATCTAGCAATAGATCCCTTCTCTTGTGGGAGAGGACCTCTGTGTGAGGTTGACTTTTTGAATCCAAGTATAAATTTATCTCTGTTAAATTTCATCTTATTAGGTACTGTTCTTCTCATTCTTTCCTTCACAGGTTCAGAGGATTCATACTGAGGCTTGTACTACTTTTGCATTTATAAAAATATCTACCACTGTATCGAGCAATATTTCAGAGACAGGCAAAGGATTTTGAGCTCTATGTCCTTAGACCATTCAGTCCAGCCCCTTCATTTAAGAGGTAAGAACACTGCAACCCAGTGAGGGGAAGTGAATAAAAATTCATTTAGAAGTCACATATAATTGAAATATACTCGACACATCTAGGTCATTTTTCTCTGACTTCCATGAGTGAACTCTGGCTACTCTGTGCTTCGATTAAACTTTTGCTTATATAAGTTTACCACTAGGAGAAGTCATTATTGACAATAACTATAAACAAAAATCCAACCCTTAATAAAGTAGTCCTCTCTATATGGTGAGCTCATTTCTTCAATTTAAGACCAGGGCTTCTTGCTCATACTTAGAAGAGAAAATAATTTCTGGAATCTCATTAACAATAAGGATGGATTAACCATGGTCATGAGCAATATTTTCATTTTAAATCACTTTAGCTACTCTCTCATGTCTCTTTTTGTCTGAACTTTCTAAGTTTGTTTCTTGATGGTGAAAAATGAAGTCATCTCAAGTCCCTGACCTTTTTTTTTTTTTGCTAATTCTCTCTCTTTTTTTTTTGGTTATTTTAGTTTTTAATAGATCAATCACTCTGGAAAGGGAGAACTAATTCTTAATTTGAAATTGGCTTTGGTAAAGCTTCTTAATATTTGCTGCCTAGAACATTCTGCTGATAATTCAAATTTCGAGTTTGCTTTTGTGTGATTCCTTTGGTGATAAACAGGAGAGAACTCAGAAAACTGCACCACTTCACTATAACTCATAAGCCACAAACCTTATGATGCCCACTTCCATAAGCAAACTTCAGGTCTTTGTCAAGGTAAGGTGGCATATTTATTTTAGGTCTTCTGGTGTAGTAGGAGCTATGAGCAGAGAAGGCCTGGTCTGAACCACCCTTACCCTCCCTTCCACCATGACCTTAGGCCTGAGGTTGGGAGTTATGGAGGCCTGCCTAGCTTTGTGCAATTCAGGGTACAGACGCAGTCAAGGCCTAGTAGGAGTCCAAGACTGTGGATGTAGCCATTATGCATTTCTTGACCATTTAACATATATAAAACTGTGCTACCACTGTTAAAATTAGGTTCCTATTCTTTTAAAAATGCATCACTAATGAAGTTTTTAAGCATTGTGCCCCGACTCCATTTTCACCATAAGCTCTGCAGGGTTTTGTTTTTTTTTTGAGGCAATCGGGATTAAGTGACTTGCCCAGGGTCACACAACTAGTGAGCATCATATGTCTGAGGCTAGATTTGAACTCAGGTCCTCCTGACTGCAGGGCCGGTACTCTATCCACTGCACCACCTAACCGCCCCGGCTCTGTGGTTTTTATTGTGCCATTGTGCTTAGCACCATGCTTTTTGGGAGCACATGTGCCATGTTATGGCAGAATTACTTGTGTGTATACATATGTGCTATATATATCATATTGTATATTTGTACTTTATATATTTCATGTTATATTTGTGCTACATATCTCGTACTATATATATGCATATATGTGTATGTAATGCATATATGCATATATGTGTATATAAAATGCATATGTGTATATAAAATGCATATATGTGTATATAAAATATGCATATATGTGTATATAAATGCATATATGTGTATATAAAAATCATATGCAAATGAAAGAGGAAAAGACCATTGAATTGCAGTTGAAATCTCAGCTTTGCTATTTACTATCTATGCGACCTTGGGCAAATCAGCTAACTTCTTTTGGTTTCCTTTCTCCCATCTGTGAAATGAAGGAATTGATCTAGATGGCATTAAGGTCCATTCCAGTTCTAGATCTATGATCCTATAATATGTATGAGAAGTAGAGTGCATAGTGGATAGAAGACCAACCCTGGGATAAGGAAGATTTGGGTTTAAGCTCTTTCCATAGGCAAGTCAACTTCTCAGTGCCTCAGGTGATTGTATCAACAGAGGTAATTTCTGTATCAGGCATTTCCTACACTGATAAAATCATAGGTCTAGACTGCCCACAAAAATATGTGTATATCTATGCATATTACATATATACATATTTCTCTTGCTGACTTACGAAATCTGTTCTTATATGCTTCTTATATTTATGAGTTGGCATATGCTATTTACCAAGCATAGTGCTGATACTGACTATACTATGAAGGGAATGAATGGAAAGGGGACTTTACTCCTTGTAAAAGTATAGCAATATAACTATTTTTCTTTGTCAGAAGAGAAGGTTTGATGTCAGGGGTATATATCAGGAAATAACTGTTAAAATTATTTTTAAAAGTTGATAAAACTTAGTTGTTTTTTTTTGGTTTTTTTTTTTTTTTGGCTAGGCAATGGGTTAAATGACTTGCCCAGGGTCACACAGCTAGTAAGTGTGAAGTGTCTGAGGCCAGATTTGAACTCCGGTCCTCCTGACTTCAGGGTCAGTGCTCTATCCACTATGCCACCTAGCTGCCCTGATAAAACTTAATTAAAAGAAAAATGAAATACATATGCATAAGCATTTCTGAGAGGAATGCATCTACAAATAGGGACTAGTTTTTTGTTGAAGAAGTAAGGGAAATAGCATGATGAACTAGGCAGAAGGATCTAGTGACTAGACTGAGAGGTAGGAGATCTGGATTATAGTCTAAATTCATTAGCTGTGACCTTGGGCACATCACTCCATCACTTTGGATGTCAGTTTCCCCATCTACGAAGTGGTAGGGTTGGGCTAAATGATTTCCAAGATTTGTTTCCACTCTAAAATTCCACAGTTCTAAAATGGAGAATTAAAGCAATTATCTACATTTTTAAAAAATTAAAGTGTAATTAAATTCTAAGGGATAGTTTGTAGCTTAGGAGAATAGCTCCTTTTAATTTCAGTGCTTATGAAGTTACTACAGATTACAGGGTTGCCTTTTCTTTAACTCTCAGCAAACAGTAAAGAGAAAGTTTACCTTTCTCTTCTACTCCCTCCCCATACCAAGAAGACAAGTGAGAAGGAATCATTTTCTTTTTCTTTGGACAGTTGCTGAGAGTATTTTACCACAAACTTACCAATAAAAAATACAGCCACAATCTCTTCCAAATCTATAAACATTTCATGATTCTGTGAGAGGCACTGTAGTGCCATAGCCACAGATGAATGAGCCCAAAGGAGAATTGGTTGTCAAAATGTAAAATACCAGTACAGTCGGGATGATAAGTGGTACTCACTTTATCCATTTCCTGCTTGAAAGTGGCAAATACCTCATTGCTTTTTGTCAGCGTATTCTGGAACTCTTCAAACCTCTCAGAGTAGAGAGTAAGCTGTAGGCACAGGAAAGAGGGGATCTATTATAGGAGTTACATTCAGAGTGATTTAAGATCAAAACACTATGCTGTGGCTTATTATTTGGGAAGAAAAATTATTATGGCTACATACAATGTGATTCTAGAAGTATTTGTAGCTCTGATAACCCTTGTAGATTCAGCCTAGGTCAGTGTTCAATGAAATCTAGTTCAACTCATTTATTGAGTGCTTACTGCATGCATGACACTGTGCTGGGGCTATGCAGGATTCTCCATTATAATCTCCCTGGTAGATATATCTCTGAGCCAGACTCTGAGATTAGCTGTGTTTCAAGGCACTCTTTCATTTAGAAGTAACTATAACTGAATCTATTTCATTTAAAAGGATTTCTTTTAATATTCTTTTTTTTTTAATGAGTAAAAGCTTAAAAGCATTCAAAGAATATAACAAAACAATTCTGTATTTAGGATCTGTGTCCAAAGACCTACGGCATTCACCTTAGAAACAAGTCCAGTGACCATCAACAGAAGTGACTGCTGTGGGGTGTATGGTATTCTCCTGCTTTGTAACTAACTCCATAGCTAAGTTCCCTGACTGAGGTGGGAATCATGGTCCATAGAAGGTCTGATTTTATAGGGTGTATAAGTTACACTTTTTCAATCATTGATTTTCTGAATCTTCCTTCCCCTTTTATAGTATTGAGTAGGCGTATTATTTGGTTGATAATGTTGGCATTCCAAATCTGTGAATGTTCCTCCCTGTTGAATTGCTGATTGTGACCTTAAGAAAACTGTATCTTTAAGTAGCAATTGTGTTGCACTGATCTTTTTTAGGCCATTGATTCTGTCCTTTCATCTTGAATGATTGAAAAATGAAGGTCTAGGAAAATAACACAGCCATGCTTTGGGTTTAATACAGGCTTGAGAAATGAACACCAGCTCAGGGGATGTCTAAGCTCCATTCTAGTGCTAATAGTCCAGGATTCTGACAATCCCTAAGTCTGTTGGAAGCTCTTAAAAAATTGCTTTTAAATGGAATCAGGAATTTCCAGTGCTATACAAAATAAACTTAAAAAAAAAAACCTCTCCTATTTAACTTTGTTGTGTGATTAAAACAAACAAATAAACATTCTGGTAGCATAATATTTGCCATTTTAAAAAGAGAATCCTTTTAAACTTCTGTTGAATTTAGGGATTTGAGAAGCTCTTTTCTGTCTTTTTGGTGGACTATGTAATGGCTAATTTCTTGATGTTTAAGTTCGGGGATATGGAAAGCCAGAAGAGGAGGAAGGCTGAAATTAAATAGAAGTGGCTGCGTAAGAGGCTTCTGGAAACGCCCTTACCTTATGGGGAAGTAGGTTCTGGGGAGCAGCAGGGAAAGCATGAAGTGAAACAAGATGGACTATGACAAGATTTTAGAACAAGTCTATTTTGGGGTGTGTGTGTGTGTGTGTATTAAATAATGGAGTAGAGAATAAATCATACTAGAAGGGGAAAATTCATGATTGCTTTCCTCTCCCCAAAAGAACATTAGCCATGAAAAGATTTATTCAACCCTTCATAAATAAGTAGTCCTTGACTATATGCAAATGGATTTATGTACTTCTTGCATTATCTCTGCTAAATTTGGAGGCCTTCTGACTTTCTCACTTTCCCTAAGCATCCCATAATAATTGGGACATTTCTGCTTGAAACACTAGGGAGGCCACAACCTTGCCTTGAAGGATTCCAGGGGAAAGTCTCTTCCACTTGAATGTGTCATTGCTTCTTCTCTCATGGAAGAACTGCTAATACTTCTCTGGTTTCATCATTCACTCTCTTCTGCCACTGTTCATTCTGGGCCATATCCACCATTCTAGGAACTTGCTGGCTCCCAGTCTCTGACTATTGAAAACTTCTTCCTTCAGTGTCCAACAAAGGTACCACCTACTCCACTAACTTTCCTGTTCCCATCTCACTCTACACCCCCCCCAGATGAAAGCAATCTTTGCTTCCTCAAATTTTTCTAGAATATTTTGTATCAATCTCTTCTTAGCCTTTATATATTCTACCTTGCAAATAATTTATGTATTATATTGTATTGTATTGTATATAGTTGTTGCCAAAATGGATAAAGCCTGTTAGGCCTGGAATCATTGAGGTCTGAGTTCATATATGACCTCAGACTCTTACTAGCTCTGTGACCCTGGGCAAATCACTTAACTTCTGATTATATCAGTTTCTTCAACTGAAAAAAGAAAGATATAGCACCTCAAAGGGTGGTGAAAATCCAATGAGACAGTGTTTGTAAAATGCACTTAGCATAGTGCCCAGTATGTAGTAGGTGGTATATAAATGCTTATTCCTTTCTCCCCCTTGTAATCCTTCATAGCCCCTCCCCATTAGATTACAAGCTCCTTAAGGTTAGGGACTGTTGTTTTTGCTTTTGCTTTTCATCTTTATATCTCAAGTGCCTACCACAGAGTCTTGCACAAATTAAGATCACAGAGTCATAGATTTAGAGCTGGAAGAGACCTTAGAAGCCATTGAGTACAGTTCCTCCTATCCTCATTTTATAGATGAGGAAATCAGGCCCAGATGGGTTAAAATATTTATAGATCATAAGACCATAAATGTAGAGCTGGAAAGACCTTACAAGTCATTGAGACCAATGCCTTCATTTTTTCTCATGTGAGGAAACTGAGGCACAGAGTGACTTGCCCAAGGACATAAGATAAGTGAGTAGCAAAATTGGGATTCAAACTCAGGTACTAAGATTCCAATTCCAATGTACCTAATGCATTTTTGACTAATTGAATCAAAATGAAGATGCAAACAAGAGTGACAGTGAGATGGGATAATAAAGGCCACTACCACATCTTATCAGTTTTAAACCTCCTATCTCCAGTTTGGAGTAAGGAATAGAGCAGTTGAACATGTAGGCAATGAAAAAGCTGTCCAGCTTCCTAGATTTTCATCATATCTTCACATTGGGGCACCATTGCTTGGTCTGAAGCAGATTTTTGGTCTTGGGTGAATTTGCAGACTGTGAGATGGATGCATTCTTATTCCAGTCTAAGTATTAAGATGTAGATTAAGCCAAGTTAAGATTAAGCCAAACAGAAACTAATTCTAGATTATCCAATGTTTCAAATTCATCATTGACTTTGCTCCCTTTCAATAGGACAACTACTTGAGAATTGACTAAACTCTTATTTTTTCCTTCTCTTTAAAAAAATGTAGTATAGTTTAACAGATAAGAGTATCGAGCTCAGGGTTAAAAGCACCCAAATTCAAGTCTGCCTCTGGCACTTACTAGCTGTGTGATGTTGGGCAAGTTACTTAAGTTTTCTGAGCCTCAGAACTCTCAAAGACACGTACTGTATTATATGTAGGATCTTCTAGGTAGAGAAAATTCCTGCACCAACACAATAATAGATCCTTGCTTGATATACTGACATGTTTAAAATAAAGGAAATAAAACATGTGTGGAAGAGATTTTGGATATTTATGTTTGTAAATGGCAAATCTAAACTTAGACTGTGTTTTATTCTTACCTTCAAAGATTAATGAAGGAGGGGAGAGAGAGAGGAAGATGTGAGCTCAGGAGTGTTTGGATACCGATTTATCCTGACTGACACTTGTGGTTCCATAAATTATAAGGAGAAGGGCATATAGAATGAGTCATGTAGGTTGGTAGAATTGTCCTGCTTAAAGATAGGTCTTCCTTTGCTATGTTTCTACAATTGTGAATTTATTCTTCTTTTCCCCTTATTCCTGCCCAATATAAAGACTTTAGCATTCTAAATATTGGATCTTAGGACCATGACTTGGAAACAGATAAAGAAAGGCACACATTATGCATTTGATTCTTTGTACTTCACCTGGGCCTGCAGGACTGTCTCTTGTTCTTTCAGCATCTTAGTCTGAAGCTTCCACTCAGCTGCTTGGTTCAGTAACTGTGTGAAAAGAGTATCCAAAAGACGAGAACATATTACATTAAAAAAATCTTTTGAATGACTTTATTATTGTAGTTAATATATAAAGCTTAGTACTTTTCTTGCCTATTAGCTCTCTTTGAAAGCTTCAGACTTTTAAAAGAATATAAAATATATAAAATAATAATTTATAAAAGCTGGAATGTATATTGTGGTTTGGATGATGACTTGATTAGATTTCATGGAAGAAAAAAATAGAAATACAACTTTATGATTATGAAATATCAGTAGAATGTAAGTTTCTTGAGGGCAGACTATTTAAAAATTTTCATATTTGTATCCTAAATGCCTAACATGGTGCCTGGCACATAGCAAGTGTTAAATAAGTGCTTTAATTGAATTAAATCCCCATGTAGTTCAGCCGCAATGAGTCTCCTTCTTAATATTCTTAATTGATGACTCTCCATCCTCTGCTTGAAGACTCCTAATACTACTGAGAAGACTCAATATTTGAGTCCCATTCTCTAAACAAATAGTAGACAATGGAGTTTCCCAGTGAAGAATACCTGTCCCTTGCCCTACTCTAATAGTGACAAGTTGCATGGTGGCTTTGCTCTCATGATTTCTGGGTTTTATTGGGGGGAAAAACCTAAGGCAAGAAGTAGGAAAGGTGTCAAAGGCAAGGGGAGAATGTATTGTGTATGATGTTTCCCTCTACCACCCTCAAATTAATATAGAAAGTATGCCAGTTGGGGTCAGTAGCTACATTTGGAAAGGGCTGCAGAGAAAGAATGAGGTATATTACTGTGATCTACAAAGCCAGCGGAAGAGAAGTTAAGTAACTTGTTACTTTCTTTCTGATGCTAGTCTAATTTACCTAGAAGATCTTCCCGTTAATATTCCTCTGTGTTGTTGAGCTATCAGATGGCCTAGAATACTTGAGTTAACTTTGCCTTATGTAGTAATTTTAGTTGATAATAGAGAGGCAGTTGTGCCAGTAACAGTGGGTCTGTTTTCTTGATCCTTTGACAATTACACGAGAAACATTGACATCTGTAAGAATGGCATTGACAGGTGTGAATGTACTGTTCAATCCACTGTGCAGACCAAAAGCAGGAGTTGAGATACCCCTGTGTCTCAAAAAGAGTTAGAAGGGCAGGTTATTTCCTACTAGTTATTGCTTTTATGCATCTGGCCCCCTAGATTATTGGGTTATCCTCCTAGGCAAATGTTATCTTCCTAGGCTAAGCCTATGGGACTGCCAGTTTCCTTAGTAATACATAGGCCACCCAAATTCTTTCTTTTATTTCTTTACTCATTGCTTTCCCCCACATTGACATAATCCTTACCCTCTGTCTCTACCAATCCTAATTCTAAACATCTCTTTTCAAGCTTAACTCAAGCCTAACCTTTACCAATGCTTCCCTGGCTAAATTAACCTACACTGATTCTTCCCTTCTCTAAATTCCTACAGCATTTTTTTGGGGGGGGGTATCAAACCATCTAGCATTTGAGGATATAAATGTCTTATATGCTCCCAAGTTATTTCATGTATATGGATGATTAAGCTTCTGGAGCCAGATTGTAAATTTCTAAAAGCCAGAGACTATGTCCCCTCTTTCTTTTGACTTCTTCATAGTAACCACACAGTGATGGACATATTAGGTTCCTAATAAATGACTTGACTTGACTTCTTAGTTCAACAAATTGTTAATAGGTACCTATTATGTGCAAAGGATATGGGAACTTTTGGAGCTGGGGATACAAAGATTAAAGACAACATAGTCCCTACCTCTCAGGAGCCTATAATATGATAGAATATGAAAAAGTTAAAGGATGGTCTTCTCTCTCTCTCTCTCTCTCTCTCTCTCTCTCTCTCTCTCTCTCTCTTTCTCTCTCCATCTATGTCCTAATATACTATATATAGATATAGTGTATGAGGATGCTAGCACTTTCCCTAGAGCACAGTCGGACTGTTTATTTCTAAAAATCAGCTGAATTTAAATGAAAGATAAAAACCAATATTAGTTCCAGAGGACAAATCAAGAAAGGTACCTTTTTCCTCTTGGTAAAGACTATAGATATTAAATGTTGCATATCAGAAATGTCTCAGTAGAAGGCAACTATTAGGCAAGTTAATTTAACTTAAATGTTTCTCTTTGTTGCACAGGAGAGCTCAGTAGCGTTTATCAGGTAATACCACCAGGAAAAGACTGGTATAAAAAACAAAGGACATCGATTAAAATTTAGGGGGAAAAGTGGTATAGATTATAGATACTCCCTGGACTCCTGATTATCTACCAAGGTGTTTCTTAAGATAAAATTTGGACTTTTCTACAGTTGGGGGTGGGTAAGGTGAGGAAGCCATTGTTTCCATTTGCATGTAATAATGGAACCCTGCCCCTCTGTGACTATTCATGAACACGAGGGGTTTAGGAGTTTCTCTGTGATGTGGGATTAAAGTATAGCAGGCAGATGTTTAAATTGATAAGTACATATTCCTTTTCTCGCTGGTGTCGCTCCTCTGCTTCCTTCATCATTTCTTGGGCTTGTTCAAGCTTCGCATCCACTAGCTTCTGTTGGAGTTCCCGGTGCTTGAATATTTTATCCAGATGCTGGAGAAGAACAAAGCATGCATGTGAAAGAAAGAAAAAAAAAGGATTTATTTATGACAGCTTGAGAATTGTCAGACAATATTCCTATCAACATAACATCAATTTGCCTTCCCTCTGAGGTTCCATGACAAAAAAGGAACCCATGTCAAAAGAGCAGAACTTAAGAGATCAAGAAAAGTGTATATAGCTCCCTCTTCTGGAGAAGGAAAGGAAACGTCATCCATGGTAGCAAAAATTCCCTGTGTTGGGCATCATGTCTTCATGTGGTTAAAATCATAGATCTAAAACGGGAAGGAACCACAGAGGCCATCTAATCCAACCCCTCATTTTACGTATGAGTAAACTGAAGCTCTAGAAAGTGAAGTGAATTGCTGTAGGTCAGAAGGATTGTAAGTATTGGGGGTAGGATTTGAATCCAGGTCTTCTAACTCCAGAATTAGTGCTATTTCTACTATATCTAGTGACTTCTCACTGTACCCTGTTGGCTTGAAACTTTTAAGTTCCATTGTAGGTAAAATCTCCTCAATTTGCTTCCCAGGTTTGCCTAACAATGCATTGTGGCTCCTTTATAATATTCCCTGCATTTTAAATAATAATTTATATAATGTCTGCATTTTAAAATAGCAGGCCTATTAAGTAGAGGTATCTGATAGCTTTGGAGGAGCTCAAAGTGGGAATCCACTTTTTCTTTTCCATTATTTTTCCTAATGTTGTTAAATAATCTACTGTATTAAAGAGGGCAGGTATCCAAGAAGCAAAGAATTGTTACAACTGGAAAAGATCTTTGAGATCATCTACTACAATCCCCTTTTCATAGCTGAGGAAATTGTGGCCTTTATTAAACGACTTTCCCCAGATCATGCAGCTAGTTAGGAACAGACATATACCTGATCTGACCCAGAGAAGAAGCCAGAATTCTACAAGGTGATCGGTGAAGATTTACAATGATGCTTTTTCAAAGTTGTAATACTTATTTTCATTTAGTATACTGACTATGACTGACAAATGTTTACAATTAAGCACTAGAATACCTGCATTATAGGATTAATAGTATTACTTTTAGTCTCACCATCAAGATGGGTTGTAATGGTGACTTTTTTAATAGAATCACCAAATTTCAAAATCAAAAAGGAGCTCAGAGGCCATGCAATCCAACCCATAGTTGAAAAAGAATTCCTTCTCTAACACCTCTGACAATAATTAATAGTTATTGCTAGCATTTATGTAACGCCAATATGCTAAGTGTTTTACAAATATTATCTCGCTTGATCTTCACAACAACCCTGGAACTAGGTAGGTACTATTTTCTTTATTTTGCAGTTGAGAAAATGGAGGCAAAAAGTGGTTCAGTGACTTGCCCAAGGTTACATAGCTAGTAAGTGTTACAGGCTGGATTTGACTCAGGTCTTCTTGACTCCATGATCAGTGCTCTATCTGTTGTACCACCTAGCTACTTCATAACCATTGGTCTTCCAATCTTTGCCTAAAGAATTCCAATGATTTAGAACCTGCCAAGTCTTTAGGCTGGCTTCAAGGAATGTATATAAATCACTGAAGAGCTGTATGTGGTCTTGTCATCTCTAGATGGCCAACCCTAGTACTAGACTAAACTGCATCCTAATGACCTGACACTGAATAAGTAAGGGCTAAGGAATAGGGTGAAAATTCAGAGACAAATGTTGTTCTACCATCATCACGTTCAGAGGTTGGTCTAATTTTAACTCAGCCCTGGGAGCAGTGTATGGTTCTGCAGTGGAGAGTGCCTCAGAGAGATAGAAGTGGCCCTAGGTCATAGCTAGTTTAGAATATTTCTGAGGAATGGACTTTAAATCCTACCTCTGTCACATTAACTGTTTGACCTCAAATAAGACATTTTGGAACCTCATCTGTAAAATGAGGTTAGACTAAAAATTCTTTTCAGTTTTAGCTTTTTGATCCTATATAATTATCCTTCCTTTCACTTATCATTTTTCCATGTATCAGTCTATACAGATATTCCTGGAGCTGGATTGAAATTTGTGGACTAGAAAGTAGAATGACAAAATTGTTACATTTATTTTACCATGTGACTGCTTTCTCTTACAAGCATTATTACAAAACTCAGCTCTCCACATGTTTCTATTGAGAGATGACAATATTCTAATTACCATTCTTGTGTCTCAGAATGCTATAAAGCTCCTTTAGTAAAATCCACAACAATACTGAAAAGATTGACTTAACCATTTATACTTCAAAAACAAAATGGATGAAAAATGCATAATGCTTAAATTATGATACAGTTACATGTAGAATTTGTCTGTCTGTCTATCTCTCTATCATTTATTTCTTGGATAGATAGAGAAGCTGAACTTAAAGGAAGTCTTAGGGTTAGATTCTATTTGGAAAATGCCATTACTTTCAATGATTCTAAACTATTTGCCATTGCTTTTCTTAATGCTGCTATTCTTCTGATAGAGAGGTAGCATAGTGTAGTGGATAGATGTCCTGCCTTGGAGTAAGAGATATCTAGGTTTAAGACCTGCCTTGGGCACACATTGACTGTGTGACCCATAGACATGTACTTCAATTTTAAGTGCTCCATGCAACTCTCCAAGACAAGTTATCTATTAGCAGAGAGAATTTCTGCTCGAGGTGTTTCCTTCACTGATGAAGTTCAGATACAGATCAAAACACAAATAAAGAAAGTCTCCCCTCCTCCCCTCCCCCACCTATCTTCTAGGGATACCATATGTCTATGAGTCATGGAATATCATAATTTAAAAAGACAAAATTACAAAAAGTAAAGGCAATGAAAAGATACAGGGCAGGCATAAGCTGGCTGCGATGCATCACCACTAATAACCTGCATTGAAAAATTGATACAAAAAACATTATTGAGGAACCATATGACCAGAAAAAGAATTGGGTCACTTTTGCAATGAGAATGAAACATTGTGGAAGGATAGTCTGAATGGTATGGATTGATGCCTTGATGACACTTAAAAAAACAGAAGGTAGCTTTCATTCCATTAGGGAGGTCTTCTGTGCCAGGATTTATGGAAAAACATAAGATATGAATTATACTGGATGACATGGGCTGCAATCTACATCAGTGAAAGGAGCACCCACACTGGAATTATACATCTACTCAAGAAAAAAGAGGAGGTTGCTAAAATCACCCCCGCCCTTTTTCCCAGCAATATTGGTCTACCTTCCAAAGGGAAAGCTGTGGCTTGGATCATATAACTTCACTTTTTATTTCTTTCTAGCTACTGTAAGGATATAATTCAGATGAACTTCTTAAACCCTTTCAAATTAGTGATTTAGTAATGTTATCTGTGATATTCTTGGTTTGTAAAGAAAGCTGCTCCTAAATATTATTCCATTAAAAAGTGGATCAAAACCTTATTTCCCCAATTTCTTTAGCTAATAATAGCTAGCATTTACAGAGACCTTTAAGGTTTGCAAAGCACTTTATTTATGTTATCTCATTTGATCCTCACAACAACTTTGTGGAGGTGGGCGCTATTATTATCCCCATTTTACAGATGAGGAAACTGAGGCCATAGAGGTTAAGTGCCTTGCCCAGGGTCACACAGTACACATCTGAGGTAGGATTTGAACTCAGGTCTTCTTAGACTCCAAGTCCAGCATTCTATCTACCATGCCATCTATCTACCCCAATGGCTCAGTGCCCTATTTCTGTGTGGCTTGATACAGTTCTCACCTCTTCTCTGAGTTCGTACTGATCAATGATGCTTTTCAATTTCTCTGCTAGCTCTGTGTTTTCTTGGCATAGTGTCATGTTTCTTTCACTCTGTTGCTCAATCTGAGCCTGGATGTCACTCAGTGTACCCTGAAAATGGCTTGTGATCTCTTTCCTTTTCTCATCTTCCTCACGTGCCCTCTGGAGAGTTTCCTCCTGTTGAAAAGAAGAACGGTATTTGAGTTTAAGAGTTTCAGTAACTCCCCTCCTCCCAGATTTACAAAATCTTTTCAGGCCAAAGATCAGTAACAAGGCGAAGAGAAAGAATAATTAAACATGTGTATGAGGTTTTGAGTTCTTTTCTAAATCGTATTGCTTAACCATGAAGTAAATATATAAGGGCTATACAGGCCAACACACATATCAATGATGGGTGAATAGTTCTTGGAAACAGATGCTGTGAACACCTTGTATCTAATAGTTACTTATGAATAGGCCTATCTGAAAGACAACTAGGCTCTGGGTGAGTGTTTGAGTGAGCTGCAGTAATTTCTACCAAGCCCACAATACCCAGTTCTGATCTGACTGTGTTTAGCTGAAAACAAAGGTCACTTTTTTGCCAGGGGTTAAAAGTGATGGTTCAAATCATCCAGTCCTGTGGCTTGCTGTAAGGAGGAAAATTGGCCTTGTGCCACTATATAGCCACCAAGAAACATCAACTCCCTAAAAATATTATTGAAATGTCATAAGTACACCCTGGTAAAATACATTCTCCTCTTTATTGAGAAAAAGGTTCTCTAAAAGATCAATAACAAGGTGAACTAAAATAGTTACTGAGCAGTTACACTAGTCTTGGCAAACCTGCTGGATAGTGAACTTTTGTTGGAAAGAACAGTCATGTGTCACACAAGGTAATTGACATGTTCACTGGAAAATTCTGATTCTGGGCGCAATGATAAGTTTCAAAACCTTCTAAAACTCTAAAAGAAACATCTAATTTTCCCTTCTTTCACTTTGTTAACATGGTAGAGTTGGAAATTAACTTTCATAATGACATTTCTTTTCCCTTTTCCCTTCTAAATCAAAACTCTCCATTCACTCAGACCCACTGACAATATACCAAAATTTCCCACACATCTATATTGGGTGCTGTTTGCTTTGTGAGTCTTATTCTCATTCTTCTAGAGTAAAAGGGTTTAATATTTCCATATAAAAATAAAGATAGAGACACTTACACAGCTGGCAAATCACATCTAGACACTGAAGGGTTCCTTTATAGTCTTTTTGATTAATTTATAATATACAAGGACATTTTATGCATTCATCAGTGGAAAGTAAAAACTGTATAGTATAGAACTTTCTAACAAAAATGTCTAACAAGTTCAAATTAAGTCCTGAAGAACTTTTTTTTTTTTGCAGGGTGTGTGTGTGTGTGTGTGTGTGTGTGGGTGGGTGGGTGTGTAGATGGCATGGGGAGGGCAGGAGAATTCTGTAAACAACAGTAGTTATGCCTTATCTTTACTATGGATAAGAGTCATATAGGATGGGCAGGCATGAATAGGTTGAAATTAGCATTGTTGGAGGGAACTCTCAAATTGATGAAGTCACAGTTTGAGAAATTGAGTATTTTATAGTTCACATTATATTTACAGTTTAAAAAGTACTTTCTTCACAACAGCCCTGTGAGGTACATAGTGCAAGTACTATTATCCTATGGTTTCTCATCTGAGCTTACCACCCACATCTCCAACCCATTGCATGGCATTTCGTTTTATTTCATAAGCATTGATTAAGCTCTTACTATGTGTAAGGTAAGTACTAAGTGTACTATGTGTCTTAGGAAATTATTTTGGCAGCAATGTGGAAAGTGATTAGAGAGGGAAAGAGACTGGCAACAGGGAGACCAATGAGAAGGTTCTTATGCTCATTCATGTGAGAGTAATAAGAATTTAAACTAAGTGGTGGCTATGTGAGTTGAGAAGGAAAGAGGATAGATTAGAGAGATGCTGGGGGAAGAGAACTGATGAGTCTTAGTAACTGATTGGATGGGAATGAGGTGAGGGGGAGAGAAGGGTCTAGGATGACTCTGAGGCTTTGAACTTGGATCATTGAAAAATTGCCCTTAATGGAAATGGGGAAGTGTGGTGAAAGCGCATAGGTTTTTTGGAAGGAAAACAATGAATTCAATTTTGGATGTGTTAAATTTGAGGTGCCAATGGGATATCACACTGCCAACTGCCTGGTCATATCACTTCTCTGCTTAAAAATCTTTAATGGCTCCCTATTGCCCACAAAATAAAGTTCTAACTTTTTTGTTTGACCTTCAAGGCCCTCTACAACCAGGCATGTCAATTAACAAGAATTTACCTTTCTAGCCTTATCTTGAATTTCTCCTCCCTATATACTCAATGCTCCAGCTTAACTGGACTTCTTATCTCCAAAAGATACTTTGGTTTTCCTGCCTCTACAGAATTGCTCACACTACTTCCTATGCCTATGGTTTCCTCCTACTCCCTCTACTTTTGAATTCCTACTCATGCTTAAAAGTCCAACTCATAGGCCATCTTCCATGTAAAGCCTTCCTTTGTACTCCTTGTGGAAAGCACAGATCCTGTTCTGTGTCTTCCTAATACTCTTTTAATATATTAAAATGTTCTTTAGTAATATGTATATAGCATCTAATGTGTTACTAGATGTAAGGAAAAGGGAACATGTCTTATCTAAACTTGGAATCTCCACAATGCCTAGCCTAGCCCTCTGCATATAGTATTTAATAAATATCTGTTGAACGAATTGCATCCCCATTTACAAATAAGGAAATTGAAACTCAGAGAAGTTGTGATTTGAGTAATGTCATGTAACTGGTATGTAATTTTTAGATAAATCCAGTGGTTTTTAAAATATAGCATTTTTTCATTTTAAGTCAAAATTTATGATTTCATTTTGAATATTAATACACCAGAAAAAAACAGTTCTTTTCTGTCATAAAATGTGCACTTGACAATAATAACAATCCTAACATTACTCTGGCTTGTTCTATTAGGCTTACATGGATGACTGAGCATAGATTACAGACTTTCTAAAAGTCTGTGTCTTCCAGTTGTTTTCAAGAAAGCAGCTGGAAGCATCCTGTGATAGCCTGGCCTATATGAAGCAGAAAGAGCCTAAGAAAGAGTAGGACCTCTTGCTAAGGCCCCTCAGCTTTTCATTAGGGTTACCCCACTTTTTATCTACCACGGAAAGACCAAAGTGATACAAAGAAGTGGGAAAACAGTTTATTACAGGTATCAGCCTGCTAGTGAGGATACACTCCTTAGCCCTAACCAGCTTAGCCTGCTATCATAAAAAATAGAGCATTTTGCAAAAGATTCTTTATCAATAAGCATAGTAATTCTTCTATCTCTCTGAAATTTTTTTTTAATGTCTTCTATCATCCTCATATGACTTATCATTCATGAAAGTCACTAAGGAAGGATATTCTAGTGGAGCTATGTCCAAGGATCAGAGTAGCTGGTTTGATGAGACTTATCACCAAGCTGGTCACAGGATGATGAATTTTCTAGTCACAGCAATTCTCAAGGCTGTATGCTTAGGTGGAGAGGGGCACCATCTACACTGGTAGAAGGAGGATGAGATTTGACACTGACAAAACTATAGATCTCCTAAGTGTGCAAAAGTAATATGAACTATAATTTAAGAATTTAAAAATATGTATATATGTATGTGTATCTATAAAATAAATGTATGTATGTATTGTTGAGTGATGTATATGCTTGGTCCTATTTATAAGGTATTATAGAGGGTTAGGAGAGACTATACTGGCTGGCCCTGAGGAATCAATTTTACAAAAGAAGTAGGAATATGCCAATCTTTGTGATGTATATGTGATTTTTAAGACCTCATTATTTTAAAACAATTGTTAATATTAACTCTGTATAGGTTAATGCAGAACTGAATAGGAATGGGTACAGGGGAAATTCTGATCAACTTAGAATCAGGACTAACTACGTTGGCAATGCACAGTGGCAAGGGAATCAAGGGAATCAAAGACCTGGGTTCAAATCCCCAAATTCTTGACACAAGTTACTTAACATCCCTGGACCTCAGTATCCTTTAATGTAAAATGAAGGGCTTGAATTGGGTTGCCTTTGAGGTCCCTTCTAACTCTAACTTATGATTCCATGATCATAAGATACTGTTATCATAGCATGTTACTCAGTCAACAGGCATTTATGAAGCACCTACTATGTGCCAGGCACTATGCTAAGCAGTGAGAATACAAAGAAAGATGAAAGAATTTTAGAGATCATTTAGTCTAACCCCTTTATTTTATTGATGATGAAATGGAGGCCAAAAAGGGTTTACGTGATTTCCTCAAGGTCATACAACTACTTACTATCCAAGCTGGGGCTAAAACTGTACATATCTCCTGACTTCTGATCCAATGGGGTTTTCATTACTCCATATTCTCTCTCTGAGAGGGCTGTAAAAACCACACATAAGAGTCTTTTATTGCTTTGCTAGCCAACAGTAGAAAGGGAAAGGGAAATCTTCATAGCGTGAAACAAACTCAGATTCACAGGATGTTAGAGATGGAAGAGACCTTAACAATTTCTTTTAAATATGAGAAAGCAGAGGCCCAGAAAGCTTAATTGACTGGTTCATGGACACACAAACTGGGGAGAAGCCAGCACTAGAATCCATGGCTCATGACTCCTCTTTTGTCCATTTTATGACACAGTGCTTAATCTTGAACCACAATGTGACAATGCTGGAATTTTGTGAAAGATACTTTGCCAACAGCTAAAGAAAAACTAGTAAAACTTAACTCTTGACTGCACTGACTTGGAGATTGCCATTATTTCAGTAGTAGTTGAGCTGAAGTATTTTGTTATTATCATTAAGTAAAGTCTTCATAGAACATGCAGATTAAAAAATGTAAACAAAATTGCAAGAGAAAATATCTGAAATGCTTATAGAACAAACTTTCTCTAGCACCTTCAAGTATTTTAGATCAAGTGTTCTTAACTTTTTTTTTTTTTTTTTTTTTTTTTTGCGCCATGGACTCCTGAGTAGGCTGGTGAAGTCTATGGACTCCTCAGAATCATGGTTTTAAATAATTGGAGAAAATGTTAAGTTTCAGTGAAAGGTCAATAAAAATAAAGATTTAAAAATAAGGACCTTCCACCATGCAGGGGCTTGTGGACCCCAGGTTAAGAATCTTTGCTTCAGATTCACCAGTTTAAATTAATGAGGTGGTGGTGAGGGGTATACTAGATGATTTTTAAATTTCCTTGGAGCTCTAGAACTCTATGACCTATAATTATAAAATAGTTAGTTTTTTCAGCAAAGCAGATATCCTGGAAGTGCCTCAACTCTTTACTAATCTGAGCTGCAGTTTTATTCCTTACAAGTATATTGTGATATTTCTTGAAAACTGTCCCATATCAAAACTGGAAAAGAGTATGGCAGAAACTAGGCATAGATCAAAATCTCACACCATATACCAAAATAAAGTCAAAATGGGTTCATGATTTAGATATAAAGGCTGATACTGTAAGCAAACTGGGAGAGCAAGGAATAGTTTACCTATCAGATTTATGGAGAACAGAAGAATTCATGACCAAACAGGGATGGAGAACATTACGAAAAGCAAAATGGATAACTTTGATTACATTAAATTGAAAAGTTTTTGCACAAACAAAGCCAATGCAACCAAGATTAGAAGGAAGATAAGAAATTGGGAAAGAATTTTTACAACCAGTCTCTCTGATAAGGGCCTCATTTCTAAAATATATAGAGAATTAAGTCAAATCTATAAGAATACAAGTCGTTCCCCAATTGATAAATGGTCAAAGGATATGAAGAGGCAGTTCTCAGATGAAGAATTAAAGCCATCTATAGTCATATGAAAAAATGCTCTAAATCACTATTGATTAGAGAAATGCAAATCAAAACAACTCTGAGATACCACATCACACCTATCAGACTGGCCAACATGATAAAACAGGAAAATGATAAATGTTGGACAAGATGTGGGAAAATTGGAACACATGTATTGTTGGTGGAGTTGTAAAACCATCCAACCATTTTGGAGAGTAATTTGGAACTATGCCCAAAGGGCTATAAAAATGTGCATACCCTTTGACCCAGCAATAGCACTTCTAAGGCTATATCCCAGAGAGATCATACAAATGGGAAAAGGAACTACATGTACAAAAATATTTATAGCAGCTCTTTTTGTGGTGGCAAAGAATTGGAAATTGAGAGGAAGACTATCAATTGGGGAGTGGCTGAACAAGTTGTGGTATATGAAAATAATGGAATGCTATTGTGCTATAAGAAATGATGAACAGGCTGACTTCAGACAAACCTGGAAAGACTTGTATAGTCTGATGCTGAGTGAAATGAGCAGAAAATGTTGTACACAGTACCAGCCACGTTGTGTAATGACTAATATTGATAGACTTAACTCTTCTCAACAGTACAAGGATCTAAGATATCTCCAAAGGCCTCATGTTGGAAAATGCTATCCACATCCAAAGAAGAACTATGGAGTTTGAATGTAGATCGAAGCATGCTATTTGCTATTTTTTTTCTTTTGTTGTGTTTTGTTTCCTCTTTCTGGTGGTTCCTCCTATTGGTTCTAATTCTTACTTACAACATCACTAATGTGAAAATATGTTTAAAAGGAATATATATGTATAGCCTATATCAGATTGCGCACCATCTTGGGAAGGGAGGTAGGGAGGGAGAGGGAGAAAAATTTAAAACTCTAAAGCTTATGGAAGTGATTGTTGATAATTCAAAATAAATTAATTAAAAATTTAAAAAACTGTCCCATATCATATATATGCATTTATGTGTGTATATACATATATGCATACACACACCTATGAAAGGAAAGGCTCTTTGATCCGTTGAAAAAAGAAAGTTATATTTCCATCAGGAGTAGTGGAAACAACTTTGGATGGTTATAGCAATACACATTGACATTCCCCACCTCTATCTTCTCCAGCCTCCTAGAATTATAAACATGTGGTAACAGCTAGAATGTGGTCATGGCAAATAATGTTCTTTCCTCTCTATATCAATCCATATAGCTTATCTGTCATATCTTTAATCCTGTTATTCTTTATTTTCAATTCAAATTTTTTTTTATTCCAGCTGTAGCTTTGCCAAAACAATGAAATAGTCAGGAATTCTGCAAAGGAGCCTAAGTTTGGTGTCAGAAAACCTGGGTTGGCCTCTGCAACTAATTACTTTTGGAAATTTAGGCAAAACATTTCTCAGCCCTGGGCCTGTTTCATCGTCTGTAAAAAGAGAGGTTGGCAGGTTAGGGCAAGGAGTATTCAGAATGCATGCCATCTTGGGGTAGGAGGAGAGACGAGATGGGAAGAAAATTTGTAACTTAAAATCTTGTGGAAGTGAATGTTGAAAACTAAAAATAAATAAATAAATAAAGAGGTTGGGATAGATGATCTCTTAGGTCCCTCTTAGTTCTAAAAACCTAGGTCCTTAAACATTAAATTAAAAATTAAACAGGAGAATACAGATAAACACATCAGACTACTGCTCGTGAACACAATTCTCAAGTTACGAAGACTTCCCACACTCACCCCCTCTCCCCAGTCCATGTTTATTATTTTCTTCAACACGGCCTTTGCAGTGATGCCAGGTTTGAACGTTACTGAAACCATCACTCCTGGCAACAAGGTAACCTGAGAATTAGAGATGCTCATCATACTGGATTCCCCATTTCCCAGAGAACAAATGTGATCTCTTGATTAAAGAAGAGGTCAAAGTATTAGGGCCCTCAGTTTGCTTCTGGTTTTGTGTCTGAGGCTTGCACATTTAGGAAAGTCTTTTAATCTCCCCCTGTCTCAGTTTATCCCCTTATGAGCATGGGTAATAATGCATACCTCATAGGAACGTTGGTGTTTAATTAATTAATGTTTGTCAAATGCTTCAGGATCCTTAGCTGAAAAGGAGTATTGTAGAAGTGGGAAGTATTATCTATTAGAGAGCAGTATCTTGCCAGCACTGAACACAGCCAGTGTCTGTGTGTAATCAAATTAACCACACTGCTGAAGGCTTACGCCATAATTAGTGAAAACACATACAGACAAATGAAATGATCACTCCATTATTTTTAGTAGGAATTATTGTCTGAAGAGCTCCCATGTTTTCCCAATCCTTTCTATGTGCCTATTTACAGAATGACTATTCTAGTACTTACTGTAATATTACCTTGTCAATTATCTTGTCTATAATTTTTCACGTAATTCAGATCGTTTTGGGGATTCCCATTATAAATACTGAAAGTTTTTGATTCTTTGAAAATTTGTGCATGGACAGGCCTGAAGGGTGCCACTTTAAAATAACTGAGAAGCAATATGATGTATATATTAGTAATAGCACTGGAATTAGGAGTCAGGTGATATGCAGTGAGGTGGAGTAGTAGATAGAATGCTGGACTGGGAGTCAGGAAGGCTTGAGTTCAAATTCTACCTTGGACACTATCTGTGTGACCTTGGACAAGTCACTTTACCTATCTGACTCAGTTTCCTCATCTGTAAAATGGGGATAATAACCTACATCACAGGGTTATTGTGAGGAACAAATTAAATAATATATGTAAAGTAACCTTGAAATATTATATAAATCCTATTTGTTATAGCAATAATAATAAAAATTATCATTATTATTGCCTATGTTTAAATCATAGCATGGTTACTTCCTTGCTCTGTGACCCTGGGCAAGTCATTTCACTCTTCTAGGCCTCCATTTTCTCCACTGTATAACAGGGATAATAAAACCTACTCCATCAATCTCATAGGGTTGGGGATCAAATAAGATATGTATCTGTGGGAAACAATTCATAGGATCATAGTTTTAGAGCTAGAAGGAATCTGAGAAGCTGTTGAATTCAACCCCCTCATCCTCTAGATGAGCAAACTGAAGCCCAAATAATCTTGACCAGAACTAGAAAATGAGTAGTATGGATGCTGCCATATTAACAGCATATTAATAGTTCTGGAAGAACCTCTGAAATGAAAAAGAATTTTATCTAGGTTAGGATAAGTCTAATTTATACCTTCTGCCCCCTCTACCTACCCTGCATCTCGAATGTTGCTTGTAGGACTGAGTGACGAAGTGAGGGGCCAGGAAGATAAAGGAGGACAATTGTGTATCCGCAGCACCTAGCACTAGTAGGTATTTAATAATTCTTGTTGAATTAAATTAATCAGTTAGAAAGCAACCATTTAGTAAGTGCACTGCTTTAGGCCCCAGAGATAATGAAAAAAATGAAACAGTTCTTTCTCTCTAGGAGCTTATATTATATTAGGGAGAAAGGGAAATTTGGATTTTCTTTTTCAAGAGAAGTAATAAATTCTAGGAGAGCAAAACTCCAAGAACAAAAAGGAAAAAAAAACTACTCATAAGTACTTACCTCCTGAAACATGCATATAGGACTAGGCTAGGACCTCCTTAATCTTATAATGTTCCTTGAGTTCACCCTTTAGAGTTAAGTGGTACTTTAATTACTTGAGTACTAACTAGTGAAACTACTTTTTTTTTTTTTCTCGAGGCTAGTTTTTAAGGATCAGGGAAAAGGAGAAAAGACCATCTGTGTTCTCTCTCCTGCAGGCAGGAGCTCAGAAAGCCAGATTTGGGGAGGAGAGCTGGTAACAGCTAGATACCAGTAGGGGTCACTAGCACCCCAGTTCTGAGGCTTGCCAGAAAAAAGGTGGGCTCAAAGCAGTGGCAGAAAGCTCAGGGAGCTCCAGAATGTACACATTGTGCACTTGGCTGTTTCTCATTCAGGGAACTGAGAGAGGGGGTGGTATGAATGGTAGTGTGAGTTTGCCCCTAGAGGAGCCTGCTCACCTTGAGAGTTTTGTTGTGTCTCTGAAGCTCACGGCACAGACTTTCCAGCTTACTCCGGGCCAGGATGGCTTTGCTGTGCTCACTCTGCAACTGGTCCTTCTCCTTGATGATCTGGGCCTGTCTCTTCTGCAGGTGCTTCAGCTGCTTCTGCTCAGCCCGGTGCTCTTCCAGCTGCATGTGCATGAGGGAGGGAGGAAAGAGCATGAATTCGCTTGTGGGGGAGATAAGCAGTGCAGAAGATGAAAGATTAAAAAAAAATTCCTTGTAATTGTCTTCTCAGAAATGTTTATGGATTCATCCCCATCTGTGCCTATCTTCAATCTCCTCACCTTCTCAGTAGCCTCAGACATAATTATGAAAACACACAAGCTTATAAATCTTCTTTCTTAATTTCTCATCCCTTCCTGCTTTGAGTTGCTATTTGAATGCTTTATCTTTATTGGTCTTTTGTATCATGACCCAGTCTTAAAACAGGGAGACTTTCTTAGAATTTATAGATGATGCCAGATCTCAGAGATCAGATGGTGACATAATTGTTAGAAGTCACCTCCCAGGAGCACATTTGCTTTTTTTTGAAAGGCAGCATGGTACAGTGACCAGAGTCAGGAAGTCATGGGTTCAAATCCCATCTCAGACATCTATTCACTGGGTTAGTTGAGGTTTCCCTGAGCCCCAGTTTCCTCATCTGTAAAACGAGCATAGTAGTAGCATCTACCTTACGAGGTAGTTGATTCTTATTTTTGATGATTAAATGAGGTGATATATATATATATATAATATATTATAAGATATATATATATAATATATATAAAGTTCCTGATAAACCGAAGCTTTGCTTTTAATGTTTTATTAAAAGATTAATAGTGAACTTCAATACAACCAATAAAACTTGATTAGTAATTCTTTAGACAACATTTCAATGTCTAACATATCACAATAATTTTTCAGTTAAGGCCTTATAAGGATTATTTGTCCATTCATTTGAATTCACTTTTCTTCTCATATATTTGTAGTTTATATGTACTCCATTCTTCTGGTTCTTCTTTCTTTCTTTCTTTTTTTGCTTTGCTTTTGAGTTATTATTATTTTTGCCTTGTTCCCCAAAATGACCCTTTTGTACAACTGTAGAAAAAAGGAGGAAAGGGGGGAAAACCTCACAGCAACTGAAGCATAAAATCTTCTTTCCTGTGCCGCTTTCTTTTTTTCTTGGAGGGAGCTGAGAGGAAGAGATGGTGCAGTACACATGGAACCAATGTACACTAAATCACCTGAACGTTGTCAGGTTTTCCCCAAAGCTACCGAGATAGCCATTGGGTGGCAGTGTGGTTTTTATTTTACTATGCTTTGGCTCAGCTCTACATCTCCAGAGGCAGGGAGAACGGGGACCCAACCTCTTCTAGAAACTAAGGGACTAAATGTGCTTCGCTGCTTAGGTTAGCACAGCTGCAAGAAAGGAACAGTCAAGCTAATGTTTTGGGTTTGTTTTGTTTCTGTGGGGCTATTTCTATCCTTCTACTTGAACTAGAGTCCCTTCAGAATAAACTGCAATACCCTGTAGGCAATCTTCCAGGTGGTAACATCCCTGGACACCATAGTGGAAGACTAGCTAACAGAGGCACAACTGGGAATTTTTCCACCTGGGGCAAAACAATTAGGGGGGAGCAACCGTAGCAGTCTGATTAGTCGTCAACTCTTCTCGTTACCTCTTCTCCCTCCAGGTACCAGGATCATACTTCCTCCACATAGCCTGTACTTCCTTTCCCTCCAGGGGTCAGTGCAGTGTAGTAACTGGGCAAGGAGTTATTTATATCTTATATTCCTTCTTTGCTGACCTCTTCTAGTCCCTTATCTTGCATTCTGTCTTCCCCCACCTCTCCCTACTCTGTGAGGGTACAAGGCAGTTCAGTAATAACTGGGATGAGTAACCTGTACCCTTACCCTCCACCTATCCAATAGCCTGTGACCCTCATCCCTTAACCCTTCCTGCTGCTTCCCCTCAAGGAGGAGAAGGCTATGAGGTACACAGATGGTAGTAATGGGGGTGGGGGTGGGAAAAAGCATGCTTTCCCCACCTTTGCACCCAGAGCAAAGGCCTTGTTGGCCTTGTGGCCACTCCACGAGTAGCTTTCATGGACCTTCAAAACCTGGACTAATCCCTTTGGCTTATAGATACGTTGTACTTTGGCAAGTGCTATAATGTTCATCATATGAGAAATATTGGCTTTTGTTTTATTGAACTGAATGTGTCACAGTAAATCTTTTGAGGTTCCAACCATTAAAATGACAAAACAAAACAAAACAAAAAAACAAAGTTATAGTCATCCTTACACAAAAGCTACATGCTGTCATATTCTGCACTCATACTTTTGAACAATTTCTACTCAAGTCAAATCAGGGGGAGTTAGCATAGAGAAAAATCAGACACATACGAATGATGAATTGCTACTGAAATTGATATCTTAATAGAGGCACAATTAGAAGATGAGTGACGTTTTGTTATGTGGTTTCTTGTGCAAAATTCTCATTTATGGGGGCAGATGAAGCCCTTTCATTGTGTAATCCAGTTACTAGACAGATGTAATTTGATTATACTTGAGCTAAAATTTCTTGTGCTTATTCTTAGCTTTTGATGAATATTCTTTTAATCCCTGAAAGTTTTTTTTTAAATCTTCAGAGAAACATTTGGACATTTCCTTTAAAGAACTAAAAACTTAGGCACTCTATGGATTCACTTCAGTGACAATATAGAAGATCCTTATATTATATGAATAGGAGGAAAGAGTTCAGAGCTTACCCTTTGACCATATAATGTTTTCTTGTGTTATAGGATTCCAACTCTACATTGAAATTCACTATGAGGTCTATCTTGATTGGTCTAACAATGAAAGCTCTTTTCTCTGTTACTGGATACACTGTTCTTTTAGTTTAAAATTAATTTTAAAAAATTATCTTATTTTTATTGTTACTTTTCATTTTTATATCACCCTTATTTTTTAATATTTAAAAATTTAAAGAATTTAAAAAGAATTTAAAAGAAAGAGATATAAAAAGCAACCAACACATCAACTGTGTCTAACAGTACATGACATATTACACATACATAGTCCTGCATCTCTGTAATGAAAGGAGAGAGGTAAAAACAAATTAGTTTTCAATGTTACAACCTGTGTTTGTTAGAATCCTTAATGATGGTAAATAATTTTGATTAAATTTGATAAGTGTTTTAGAATAGTCATGGCCTTTTATAAATGTTTTTAGTGTCCTTGGGTCTAGCACTCTAGAGTACAGGATATCCTAAAAGTCTTAGTGCAGTTTACTGCCTGGACTGAGTCACTTTTACCCCCTTATGCTTTCAGTATATACAATAGACCAAAGACTAAAATCTATTTAAAAGTGGCCCCAATCTTATTGATAAAATATAGTAAACTGCACTAAGACTTTTGGGATATCCTGTAAATACATGATCAAGATAGATACATTGACTTTCCATCTATAAAACCTTTTTTTCTTTTTTCCCTTTTGAGAAACTAAATGTTTTAAAATAGAATCATATAATGATAGAATGTTAGTACTGGAAAGGACATTGAGAGCTCCAGTCTCTTATTATATTGATGAGGAAGCAGTGCCCTATAGTCTAAGCTAAATAGAGGTAATGAGAGAGCAGGAGTGGAATGGTCATCACCTGACAAGTGGTGCCCCAGATGCCCCAGCCCCAGTCCCACTCAGGTACTAGGTCTGGGTTCCTGCTTACCTTGAAATCCACTACCCAGTAGGGCCCCAGTACTCACTATGTTGTTTTTCACCACCACAATATTGCTGCAACCCTCTCTGGGATTTGGAAACCTCCTATCTTGTATGTTACTGCCAATTGTGGAGGGAATATTTGCTTGGCACTGTATCACTTAACCATTTGAAGCAACCATCTAAAAGTGACATCTCAGTACTCCATTACCAGTGAGTACTCTGGGACGTAGGGGCAGATGGGTGAAGCCAGTTGCCACATGGGGAGCAGAGATCTAGTCTACCTGCCACTACCAAGAAAGCTATAGTATTTCAACTTTGTATGGCCACTGAGCACCCAAGTAAAAGGAGGCCATCATTGACCCCTAAGTCCTTGCTCCAGCACTTCTTCTTTCCTTCTCCATCACTGAACCAGTGAGAATAGGGCCTCTAATTTCAAACTCACAGGATTTGGAACCCCCACATTCAAGAATCTATTGCACTATGTGGAAGGATGGTCTATCCTCCCTTTCTTCACCAAACTATATGAGAAAAACAACAGTGTTTTAGTCATTAATAACCATCAAGTCCTCAGACCCACTGGCCACCAGGACCCTGTCTGGGACCAGTGCCTCAGGCACTCCTGCTAGGAGACAAATATCCTTCCTTGTATGGGGTATCTTCTGGGTGTGCATGATCTCCCTGCCAACTCAGGCTGAGTCAAATGAATTGTGTGCTGATGAATCTTTAGGTCTTACAGACCCATGAAATGTGGTAAGGTTTTTTTTTTTAAGTTTTCTTTTTTTTTTAACAAACTTATCAAACATCAATAAACATGTACAATTAAATATATAAAGAACAGAAAAAAAGGATAAAACCATGAACTTCCATATATGTAGTTTGTTTTATAAACACATATTAAATTTAATGCGATAGTAACAACACTACTTTGATATTATCTCCTTTTGAATTTCCCCTTCCCTGCCCTGTTCTTTTCTTTGTATTTCAAAATGTCTCTTTAATATTCTTTTTTTTTAATTGCATCATTATCTCTCTTCATCAACTCTCTTACCTCACAACTTCTTTGTCCCTCCACAGAAATCTTCCTTTATAAGAAATAAGTATAGTCAAGAAAAACAAATGTACCTGTTGGCTTTATTTGATAACATAAATCTCATTCTGTACCTCAAGTCTATCACCTCTTTGACAAGAAGTAGGAAACTTGCTTCATTAGTCTTTTGAAGTCGCATTGATTAATGTTCTTAAGTCTTTCAAAGATCTCTTTCTTTACATTACTGTAGTCACTGTAAAAATGTCTCCCTGGTTCTGCAAGTCCTCCAAGGTTTCTCTGAATTTATCTCTTTCATCATTTCTTATAGTATAATAATATTCCATCATATTCCTGTAACATAATTGATTCAGGCACTCCCCAGTTGATGGACACCCACTTT